GAGCATCGTGCTAGGAAATCAGCTGCTCTTTCTGGTCAGAGTTGCACTTGCTTGCCCGCTCCTCTCCCATTTGATTGCACGCCTGCCTTGCCCCCCATATGGTACACTGCACTGCGTCATAGCCCGTCCATCGCATCCATCGTAATCCTCACTTCACCCTGCCCGAATGCCATCGCCCGTCTTCGCTACTGGCAGTCCAAGCACAACCTCAACAACGTCAACAACTCCACGAGAACAAAGAGCAGCAGTCACGTCCGTCAAGGCTCTTACTATATAACCGCCTCTTGTCCCTAGCACCCTCCCAATGTGGGTCCCTAGCAGTGACATACGCCGGCCTGCTTCCCACTGTGTGCCCTCACTGCCCTAACCTCCTCGACCTCGACCTCGACCTCGCCCTCTTTCTCTCCCCTCTCCGTTGCGGCTCCCGTCTCGCAATCTGAACAACGGCACGAGACTGGCCAGAGCAATCATCTTTCAAGAATCAGGCCAGGCCACAAGGCGCAGAAGATTCGACAGCGGTCTCACCCCCGTTCCCTTGATCCTACCACCACTCGACCAGCTAGACACTCCCGTTGACTGCCAGCCGCCATGGGCCCCCAAGGCGGCGCCAATGGGGTCATACCCGTATCACTTCTACAAAAGAATCCACCCGGCCAGACTCCCCGCGGCCCCAAAGCTGCCCAGCCGCGTTTGAAGCTCATCTGTCGACGCCTTCCGCCGGGCCTGACCAAGGCCGAGTTTGAGGCCGTCCTGGGCGCAGAGTGGAAGGTGGGTGCAGGCAAGATCGACTGGCTCAACTACAGAAAGGGCAAAATCTCCACTGAGTATGACCTGTATCCAGTCATGGTATCGCGCAACTACTGATACTGATGCAGTGCCGCCAAGCCGTCTCGCCCATCGCGCGCCTACATCCACGTCACCAAGCAGGAACATATCAGGGTGTTGGGCGACCTCGTGCTTGCCTCCACCTTCCACGATGCAACCAAGTCCTGGCAGGACCCCGCGCTGGTCGGTCCTCCCACGCTCGAATATGCGCCATACCCCAAAATGCCGGGCGGACGAAGACGAAACGACAACAGACAGGGCACCATTGATCAAGATCAGGAATTCAAGGACTTTCTCGAAAGTCTTACAAACCCCATCACCAAACCCATTGCCCCGGAAAATGACGTGCAGAAAGATAGGGTGAAGACCACCCCTCTGATTGAAGCGCTGCGTGAGAAGAAGGCCAATCGTGAGAAGCCCAACGCCAAGACTGGCCGACAGGCTCGCGCAGACGCCAAAGAGGATGCTACGGACAAGAAGACAATGCCCAAGTCTGGCAAAGAAAATGCTCTGAGCACCGGAGACAAGAACCGGCGCCTTAATAGGGGCGAAAAGGCCGAAGCAGCAGTAAAAGAAGCCGTTAAAATCGCCCATAAGCAGGCATCATCCTCCAGGTCTTCTACACCTGGTGCGGCCAACGACAAGAGCTCGGTCAGCCCTGCTCCAGAGCGCAAGCGAGGCAATGTCGCGACAGTCAAGTCCATGTTGCAGCGAGACCTTGGTGTCGGCCCGGCCCCGAATCGCCGGCGTGGAACGAAGCGTGAGGTCGGCCCTGCCGTTCCAGATGCTGCGTCTCAGGCGAAAGAGGCAGCAACCGTAAACGACAAGGCCAAAGAAGCTCGCACAGCTCAACCTGCTTCTTCTTCCCCCGCGGCGGATAAGACCTCACAAACACAGAAGAAGGAACGACCAACTCGTGCGGAGCGACGTGCCTTCAAGGCTGGCACAACAGAGAAGCCTGCTGAGAAGACTGCGCCTGGCGATGCGAAGGTACAGACACCTGCTAAGCATCCAGCGCCCCAAATCCTCAAAAAGCCCCAGACTCCTATTCCACCAAAGGGCCCAGCTGCATCGCGCGTTCCTCCTACTGAGCCTGCTGCCGCTAGAAACGGTACAGCTTCAGTACAAGCTCAAGGCCTCTCGCAGCAGACCGAAGTTCCAGTTACCCCCCATGTGACGCCGCTCCCAAGGTCGGCGCCCCCCTCACCAGCCCCAGCGCCCACGAGCAAGCAAGCATTTTTGAAACATGCAAACCCATCACAGGGTATCACCGAACCCCTTATTGAAGAGGCGATGAAGGCTTTTGGAGGCATTGATAGGGTCGAAATCGATAAACGCAAAGGTTTCGCTTATGTCGATTTTGCTGAGCCTGCAGGTCTTCAGAAGGCTATGGCTGCCAGCCCAGTCAAAATTGCCCAGGGTGCCGTTCAAGTCCTTGAGCGCAAAGAGAAGATTGCCAGAGCTCCTCGTTTTATCCCACCACCAACAGGACCGGTACGCGGTGGTCGGGGAGGATTGGCACCGCGAGGACGTGGAGGACGTAGCGGTGCTAGGGGTGGCGGCCATGTTGGCCTTGGTGCGAGCCCTGGCCCTCAGACAGGCGAATTCACACCCAGTGCAGCAGCCTCTGCGCCTGCGCCTCCTGCAAATACCACGCCTGCTGCTGCATGAGAGCGATGCTATATGTGCACAATGACACAATACGCGGCTCTAGAGACTAGAGAAGAGTTGAGAATAATTCCAGGAGTGGCCAGAGAAGATCTTTGGGATACTTCAGTATCTCACGTAGACGTTATAGGAGTTTGCATATAGTGCATTTGGGCCAGGATATTTTTTTTTAGCCGCGACACGGCTATCTATCATGAAGGTTGTGCAGCAAAATAATCGCTTGCATGTAGATATGTCGGCGCAGGGACTAGGGTTGAGAAGTAAGCACAGAACTGATAGCAGAACGTGTCGGTACAGCGGGCTATACTAGGTGGACAGGATGGATAGAGGGGGAGTAGTTTACACGTTGGGATTATCATACAACATACAGCAGGATATCGAGACAGTTAATGAAGTATGGATCCAAGGCTTGATTGGGCCTAGAATCATATCTGAGGTCATGAGCTATTTCTTGCATAACTGTCTGTAGAATTGAGTCGAGGATATTTTGCAAGGAAGAAGTACAGAGTTCAAAAGAGGGCTTGGACAAACAAGAGATGTGTGGCTAATCAATCATCTCTAGGTGTTCTGCAAGACAATCACCTTGAAGGCGATTTGATCTGGTGACGCAATTGGCTTTGTTGTATGGGTTGCAGTGTGTAGAGTGTGCATTGATCTTTGGGCTCGCTCTTGGCAAACAGATGACTAGTAGGTAGGTAAGGTAGTAGAGGTTGTCTAATCAAAGTTCAATATTGTATGCGATGACTTGGCGGTGAATACGAGGAAAACGAACGAGCGGGAGGTGGCGTTTGAGCTCGGGAGCATTCTAAAGGCAGAAAATTCACTGGAGCAAGAAGCTAATGGCACAATTGGAACGCTACTACCGGTAAGTGTAGCGTGCCTACCGTTACTCGCGCCCACCCGCCAACCCCTTTCGTACTCTAGCGACAAATGACACAGAGTGAGCTTCGTTCGCTCGCCAGGCCATTCACAAATATTGGTCGTGGGCTATTTTTGGTCCTTCGCTGCATCGTTGTGGCTGGAGTAGAGCGCCTACCCCCTTGCATCCTACCATCTTACTGGCAGGGGTAGGTCGCGGAAGGCACTGTTGTCAACCAAAATTCCAATCGTTGTTACCATCCCATTGTGCCGTCTTGTTCTTTGCTGCCCCACCGCCTCACTAGATCTATTGACAAATGTGTCACAACATGTTTGTTGTAGCTTACCAGTTTACCAGCCCAGCCCAGCCCAGCCCAGCCTACCAGATGGGAACAGAACGGTTAGGAGTCGCGAGCGAGCCACGGTGGCGACACCTAGGTACATACCGGCACGACGGCTTCCGCGTGATACTTGGTCTCTTGCGATTTAGTTACCACCAACCCGAAACTGGCTACTCCAGGGGGCCTTGTAACACTGCTGTACACAGTACTACTCTGTCTGTGGTTCGGGGATGGCGAATAGCGCAGCACGGAATAGGTCGGCTGAGGGCTGGAGAAAGGCATGAAATGGAAACAGAACAGAGCTTCTCTCCCACTTGCTCCGACGTCAAGCTAACTAGGGGGACGCAATACAGCCTTGGCCATGACCAGAAGGACGCCGCATGTCTCCTCTCTCTTCCGCGCTTCGAGACCGCTTTGCTGTGTCAAAACGGGACCTTGCCAATAGAGCTTGCTGCACACTGGCCATGGTTAGTTAGTACATGAGCTCACCATGCCCTTGAGCTCTTGGGTGGTTCTTTGTCTAGGCCACTACTGATGCAGTACAAACACGTTTGTCTCGCTCGTGTCCATCAATCCTTTGTCTCTGACTTGGTAATGTTTGCGATTGCAGTTTTACTAGTCGGCCATCTCCCCATCCTATTTTCCTGTTCGTCATTCGTTGATCAGCTCTCCATCTTCCATCTGCCATCTTCGAAATAAATCACATCATCTCATGTGCCACCTTGCAGGGCTGGGAGTGCTGCTCCTTCCTCTAACAGCATTGTTCACCTCTGCTCTGGCTCAGAGCGCATACACATCGTCAAACAACGAGAAACCAAAAGACAACAATGCCGACTGTAGCTGTTATGTTGTCAATTCCGGGGACGACTCAAACACCCCGTCCTACTTCCAGTATTACCGCTTCTACGACTTCCGCAACCTGCCTGACGCTATGAGCGAGGCACCACCGCTTCTCAATGACACGACCACTGCCGGCCTTGAGCCAGTCTGGCAGCCCAACCTGTTCAACAGTGCTGCATGGAATACCGACTGGAATATACAAAATTGGAGCAAGCCAGCAACCGACGACTTCCCTACGCCGATGAACAACTCGCTGGCTAACGTCTACCTCAAACAGGAGAACGACGTGTCCTTCCTGACCCTTCGCACCTCGCGCCAGGAGCAGTACCAGACTGCGGGGGAAATCGAGAATGAACAAAAGAACCTCATGCACGTCTCCATGCGCATGTACGGTCGAGTCCAGGGTGACAAGGGCGCCGTAGCCGGCTTTTTCACTTTTGTCGACGACACAAATGAGTCGGATATCGAGATCCTCACCGACGACCCAACAGATAAGATCCGCTACACAAACCAACCCGCGGTGGACAAGCAGGGCAACGAGATTGCGGCCGCATCCATTGGCCCTACGAATCTGCCTAGCTGGGAGAACTGGCAAACGCATCGCATTGACTGGCTCCCAGAGCACAGCTACTGGTACCTGAACGACGAACAGGTCGGCGCCAACACATATTCGGTTCCCCGCAAGCCCAGCTTCATGGTCCTAAACATGTGGAGTGATGGCGGAGAGTGGAGTGGCAGCATGGATGTTGGTGGCTCAGCTGAGTTCCAGATCCAGTGGATTGAAATGACGTTCAATACAAGTGGGCCTTATGATGGCGGCAAGTCGCGCAAGAGGGCTGCCAAGCGCTGTCAAACCGTGTGCAAGATTGATGATGTTGCGCAAGTGGGCACACCTGAGGTCGTATTCAGAGGTGAAAGTGCCGCCATGGGATTGCGTGTTTCGTGGGGCCTGCTGGCCATGGTTGGCATTATGTCTGTGTTTGCCGTCGTGTGAGGGATGGATGTCTGTCTCTAATCATTTGTCGATTTGCATAGCGTTGGCGTTTTCCTTGCTTGCATCCATTGTCGGCGGGCGCGGCCAGCATCACCTAGGTATGCGTCTTCCGCGGCCTCCAATTTCCGGATGCTGAAACGAATGGAATTTTCTGCATTTATGATGGACTTTGTAGCGCAAAGCCATGCATTATCCATTACACATGGCTCGATCCTGGTATGCATGCTGAGTGACTTGTGTGCCCTGTGATTACGGTACCGGTACCGGGATACTATAGCTCACCCTCTCCATCAGTCAGTGCAGCGATGCTCAGTCGACTTTGTCTCGACGCCAAACACACCGGTACCGGTACCCCGCGCTAATCCTTGATTTACCGAGAGAAAGAACCCCCGGTACCTAACATCAACTTCAAGCCCTGGAGCTCGACCGACAAACATCTTTGTCAGTAACGCCAGCCAAACAATGGGAGCAACCCTAGATAGCGAGACGCTCAAGCAGTACCTGGCCGACAGCCCGCCCACTGTCGTGCCTCTGGCCATCAAACCCCACTTTGACGCATTGTCCGATAAAGAGAAGCTCTACGCTCACCACCTCTCCCTGTTGGTCACTGCCGGTCGTAATGCTGTCCTTGCGCAACCACTGACTCAATGGGCGCCAGTGCCTGCTTTGCAGGAACCCGTATCGTTCTGCGGCAGTGCTCCCCCGAGTCCGAGCCCATCTATGACTTCATCGTCGCCCTCCACAAGCACGCCAAAGGCGACTACCATGCACTCGCCAAAGACGCTGGTCTCTCCAAAGATGAGATCGACGAGTACCTCAATTACGCCGCGCAGTTCCTCGGAAATCTAGGTAATTACAAGTCGTTTGGGGACTCCAAGTTCGTGCCACGTCTCGAGCCTCGTCAGCTAAAGGCGCTGGCGACCCTATCCCAAGATGCACTAGCCTTGTACGAGATATTCAAGGGTGCTATCTATGCAGGCAATGACGTTGCAAAGCTTCATCTTGGCTATCCATGCGCAGGACATGTCTCTGCATATTATCCTGATAGCCCAGACATCACAAAAGAGGAGATCGCGGCTGTAAGCGGCTTCCTGGAGAGCAAGGGCCTCCTACCAGAAAACACAAGAGTCAGGAAGACCAGCCACGGCTTCGACGTTTTGATCGCTTCAGCCCTGAATGAGCCCTCTCCCTCACAAAGAGACCTGGCGGAGAGCAAGTGGACGCTTGAGGATGGGACGACCCTTAGTCTCGTCTTTGGCGATTACACAAAAGAAATGGTCACCATCGCACATAACATTGATGAAGCAAAGAAGTATGCGGCGAATGAGAATCAGATCAAGATGATGGAGGAATACTTTAGGAGCTTTAGTACAGGTTCGCTCCAGGCGTTTAAAAGGAGTCAAATGGCTTGGGTACAAGACAAGGGCCCGCAAGTAGAGTCTGATATTGGCTTCATCGAGACATACCGCGACCCTCACGGCATCCGTGGCGAATGGGAAGGCTTCGTCGCTATGGTGAACAAGGAGCGGACCAAGGCTTTCGGCATGCTTGTCAAGCAGGCTCCACAGTACATTCCACTCTTGCCCTGGAACAAGGACTTCGAAAAGGACAATTTCTTAAGCCCAGACTTCACGTCGCTTGAGGTGCTTACATTTGCTGGTAGCGGGTGTGTATTCCCATCCAACCAAGTGCACATTTCATTGCTAACATCACCACAGTATCCCCGCGGGTATCAACATTCCCAACTACGACGACATCCGCCAAAACCTTGGCTTCAAGAACGTCTCCCTTGGTAACATTCTGTCCGCTAAAGCTCCCAACGAATCTATACCCTTCATCAAAGACCGCGACCTCGCAGTGTATCAAAACTACCGCGACCCCGCCTTTGAGGTGCAAGTCGGCCTGCATGAGCTACTTGGTCACGGTTGCGGCAAGCTTCTCCAAGAAACAGAGCCTGGTGTCTACAACTTCGACTTTGAAAACAAGCCCATCTCCCCTCTGACCGGCCAACCCATAACCTCCTGGTACAAGCCTGGCCAAACTTGGGGCTCCACTTTTGGTACCTTTGCAGCATCTTACGAAGAGTGCCGCGCCGAATGCGTTGCCATGGCACTGTCCTGTGAATTTCCCATTCTCGCTCTATTCGGCTTTGGAGACGGTACTCCTGATATGAACAGCGAGGCTGGCGACGTGCTGTACACAGCATACCTACAAATGGCACGTGCAGGAATTGCAGCCCTCGAATTCTGGGACCCGAAGAGTAGGAAGTGGGGACAAGCGCACATGCAAGCTCGTTTCTCCATTCTACGCACCTTTCTCAATGCAGGCGTCGAGTTTTGCCAACTAGAGTGGGAAAAGGAAGATTTGTCAGATCTGACAATCCGTCTTGAACGCGACAGAATCCTCGACCTGGGACGACCAGCAGTGGATGATTACCTGCAGAAATTACATATCTATAAGGCGACGGCAGACGTAAAGGCAGCGAAGAGGATGTATGATGACATAACCGACGTGGAGAGTTTATACGCTGATCTGGTGAGACCGGCTGTATTGAAGAAGAAGACGCCCAGAAAGGTGTTTGTGCAGGCGAATACGGTCGATGTAGGAGGAAAGGTACAATTGAAGGAGTATGAGGCAAGTGCACAGGGAATGGTTGAGAGCTATGTAGAGAGGGAGTATGTCTAGGCTCTGTTTCCAAAATGCCTTGGCCGCTTTGTTTTTTTTTTGGCAAAGCTCATGAAATGGCGGTATAGGAACATGCATTTTTTGCTCAGAGGTGCTCTACAATTCGCTCTTCCTCCAGGAATGATCCTCGGGTATACCCATTTGCCGCCTCTGCCAGTTCACAATGTGCTCCAAGAAAACCGCCTTAACGCTAAGCACACCCAGAAGAGCGAGCAGCAATATGAACAGTATGCCCAGTCCGAATCCAAAAGCGACCGCGTCCTGTTGTCTGCTGACTTTCCGGAGCCATGCCTTGGTGTCTTCGACTGCAATGTTCTCATCATGCGAGCGTCTAGCGCTCATCATCCCCGGAAGACCATCAAGCGATTTGTGATTCCACCTCTTTTGGAATTCGCCAAGCTCTTGCTTTTCAATTTGTTTCCTCGCCCAGTCATCAATCGTGTCACGATGAGATGTCGCGGCCGCATCCGCATCCGCATCATGCTCATGGGCAACAATGGTAACAGCGTCGCCCGCGCTCTCTACCTCTCCGGCCGTATCAGGGCCATTTGGCGGTACACGGAAACCACAGCTCGTCTGTACTTTCTTCACCTTGAGCACAATAATCGCCCTCGCGCCGGTAATGTCGATGTCGTCACCGTTCTCAGTCGCCATCCTTGCCCGCAGTTGCTGGTAGTACGGGTCCCATTTTTCTATCACTTTGCCCTTGCAAAAGACGCGCAGGACCTGAGACTTGGAGCCGGACGAGGAGAACATGAGGGTTACACGACCATTTTCATAAATGTGCGCGATTGTTTCACAGCCAGAGCCTGTGGCGTCTAAATAGGCGATGGTGTTGGGTCCTAGGACAGCTAGGGTGCGAGATGGGTGGCCTTTGGGGGAAATGTTGATGTGGTCGCCTGCCCAAGGTGCGCTGGCGACATAGAAAAGCGATTGGTTGGTGATGAACTCGACATGGGATGCGTCGAGAGAGTAAGAGAACTTGACCATGTTGTGAGGGCGATTTGCGGGCGTACGTGTTTAGTTTGGGAGTCTGAGCGAATGCCAGGAGTTTTGCGGTCGTCTTGCTTGCGTTTGATTGATTTGTTTGTGTGTCAATTGCTTATCATGTGTATGTGTGAGGTGTGCGAGAAAGAAAGGCAGAAGTTCATGTCTGGGATTTGATATTTATCTGTTTGCGGACTAGCCCCCTTTTAAAGTTGACTCGACGACGGTGATTTCACGGTTAAACTTTTTGATGAATGATTGAAGGTCACAAAGACAAAGGTCACGCCAACGCCAATCCTTTTGCCAATTGCCATTGCCATAGTTGACCACGCCCATCCACACGCACGCCCATTGTGCAGACTGCCTTGGACGACCGACTGCAGTCTGTCCATCCAACCCCCTTCCCACCATTGCAACGCCCACCACCACTGTGTATCATCATCTCGCCCTGCTGGTTGCGCCTCGCTGCATCGCCGCCGCCGCCGCCGCTCCGCAAGCCGCACAGCATGTGGCGGTAGTAATGCAAGCTATCTGGCCCCGGGCAATATGGACTCTGGGAACCTGCAGGTGCATATCAACCCTCCCTCAGCCTACGCCAACACCAGCACTAGAACCAAAGTTCCACCCCGCAGTGGGCAGAAGAAGCACGCAACTATCGGCCACACGGGCATTCAGCTGGTCAACACCACCACGAGCTCCTCACACAACCATCGCGACCACGGGTGAAAATGCCGATGTGACGGCGAGGCAAACAAGGGACAAGCAATGGGAACAGGCCTTGGCCCATCTCAAAGATGAATCCAATCGTCACATGCCCACAAAGAGGGCTCTGCATGTTGACCAGGAGCTCGTCTCTTATGGCGAGCTGTCTGAAAGCGTCGATTGGGATGCCGTCCAGGACGTGGCAGGTATGGACTTGGTTGATGACCATGTTTTGCGTCAGAAGGAGGCGCAATCGCACGACGCTGTCACCTCAGCATGGGACGACCTCCGCTATGATTCGCGCACGCCTGGCGCACCAGCACTCGAATGGCCTGCCAATACAGGGCCTGGACTAGTGAGGCATCATCTACCCCCTCAGTCGCTATGGGCTCCGGATACCATGCGCTTGACAGCCATGCGGCGGCGGCATACTTGGAAGAAGATGGCTCTGCAGGAGCTGTCGACGGGTCTTTTGATCTATTCATTGCTCAGCCAGGCAAGCATCGCACGTTTTTCCAAAGCTCTGTCCGGCTCTGGCATTGTCTTGTCTCAGCATCTCGTAGACATTGCTTCCATGACCGAAGCTCAAGTTCGAAAGGCACGCGCAGACATCATCCAGCATCTAGAGAACATACACTCAACCGACGTGAGATCCACAAGCGAAGAAATAGCCAAAGTCAGAGTACCTGTGCGTCAGCCTGCGATACCAAGCTACAATCAAGACGCCGATGGTGATTTCCACGCCATCTGCCAGCAGATGAATCGAAGCATCAAACAGCTTCTAGAGCAAGTACCCAGAGGCAACGATCGAGCCGAAGCGCTCGCAGTGGCCAAGATATGTCACAACCTTTTAGTATCTACTGCATCTCCAGACTTACAGACATTCAATATTCTATTGCTAGGATTCAGGCACATACGTCGCCCCAAGATGGTCGATAGCTGCATTGCAGCTTTCTCTGCGCAAAAGATCCGCCCAAACGAAATAACGTGCCGTGAGATCTTGGACCACTACACATATGAGCGCCGTCCAGATGACTTTTCTCGCTTTGTCGCGAAGATGAGAGGCGTAGGCGATGCTCTCATGCTTGCAAACCCCGCCATCACAATCAACGAAGCTAGTCATGATCGCCTCGCAAGACTCAGCACAGAAAAAGTATACCAGAAAGTCCATCCCACACCAATAGTCTTTGGCAGTCTAATCGGCGGCGTCTTGAAGTTCGCCGGCTTTGATCGCGCCCTAGACATCTACTACGAGATGAAAGCTGATGGCTGGGGTCTGGATGTTCAAGGCTTGACCCGTCTTCTTGGAGATTGCGTCCGTCGCGGTGATTGGGAGGGCGGCATATATGTTTGGGAAGAAATCAACGGAATCAAGCACGAGGCGTCGGCGAAAGCTATGACGAGGGCGTACTACCACATGCTCAGTTTATGCTCGATCACGAGGAATACAGTTGCGTTCAACCAGATTTTAAATGAGATTGTACAAAGACGACTCGATCGCAAGAGTATCATTGCAGCAGCCACGAAGCAGACCAAATGCATGCAGAAGAAGAATGAGTATCTTGCACCAGCTTGGGCCGCAGATAATGTCCTCATCGCGGTATCCGATTACCTTGATGATGCAAAGGCAAGTCTTTATGACGAATATCCCCATCAGGGTGGGCATTCGGATGATGCACAGGTGGATGGGGCACCTGCACAGGAGCAAGAGGGGCAAAAGAGTCCCGAAGATTTGTGGGCGTCGTGGGTTGAGGCTGAGTTTGGGGAGAAGCCGAAGACCCCTGAACTTTAGATTATGAATATAGACCCTGAAGAATAAATAAAGATTTTGTCGCCGTTGTAGGAGTAGGTGAAATCGTAATAGGACACTACATAGCATGATTACTTCCACCTCCCGTCCTGCAGACATTGCCGCTGCACTGAAAAACTGCCGGCAGCCGAGCATCAAAATGCCTTCTACGAACGCTCCATAGAACTAATTCCCACGCCTCCCTTTGACACAGCCTTCGAGATACCGAAATCAAGTGATGCGTTCGACCCTAGTTCCACCTAACTCTTATCTGTGCACGGTACGTTGGCTTTTCCAACCGCTCCGTCACAAGGTTGCAATATTTGCCAAGACGATTTTTCGCTTCAGGTCATCTATGTAAATTAGCCATCCTAATTGCATCTATCGACCGCGCTTCCGACCTTCCCAATGAGTATGTTCGAGGATAAGTGAGCACACTGATAGATGGCGAATAGTACATGGCGGAATGAAGGGCAAGGTGGCTTCGAGACACGAAATGTCCTGTCGATGGGGAGCATATTTGAATGGTTGGCTAGTAACACATAGATGAGTGCACTATAGGTCTTCAAGACGGCGATATTGGCCGATGACTCCTTAAGCTGACTAATGACTTAGAGTTGCGTATCAAACATGAGGTTTGAAGCTTTCAGAATGGGCATTTGAGATAGTTCGGGCTCTAAGCAATTGCTCCAAATTGTCCAAGATGGGTATGTACTATAAATTTTACGAGCAGCATGTGCCGTGTCAGTATTGGGTTGCCAGAAGAGCGCATATACAGGTTATGAAAAATGATGTGCTCGCCGAGATTGAGCTCTCGTTAGTGGTTGAAGTATACTATAAAAGTGTGCAAAGGGATATGTATAACGCCTCATCAATCAGCGTCAACAGGGCACGAGATGATTATCCAATTGCTCTAACATTAGATAACGGCAAATTGCAACTGATTGAAAAATACGCCGTGCGTCTAATCGAGCAGTATTCCACACATGTCTACTTTCCATCTCGACGTCATGTCACCGTTTTCACCCATTACAGCATACTCCAAGCTGGAACAATCAAGGATCCACCAGCAGAGAAGTTTTGTCCTACCTATCATCGACATGGTGTTGATTATTGTTGGGCTAACATACGGAGGAACTGCCGTATCAAACATCAAGGAACAATACCAATCAGGACAATTCTTCCAAATTTAAAAATTCTAGACCTCGGATGCGTAGTGCTCATACGATAACCTGTAACTTGGAACGCACCATTTACTTTATCATTTCCTTTCGGTAGTAGATGGTAATATTCCAGCCCTCGATAGATAGAGTATCTAAGGCCCAAGCCACATTTATAGTAAAGGCCCAACCAGAGCTATAGCTCGGAGCATGGGCTCTGCATTTCCTTCATTAAATTTCGTTACAATCGTGTGCCAAGATGTATTCTTACGAGCGGTGGCTGCACTACCTTTGAAAAGGAAGACCACATAGTTTATATATATTGCGCGAACCGAAATTGTTGGCCTCTGATAAAAGATTCTTCAACAGTCGCAGAATGATAGGCGAAGGTGGCAAAAGAGTAATGGCATGGTTGGGGCGGTATATACAGAGCGTTACGCCTTGGTGGTGCTGTTGGTATTCTACGATTCATCAGACTTTTTATTCTTAGACAGTGCCCGAGCTTGTCTTACTAGTAGATAACAATAACGATTCCGTCAGAAGATATCTCCTATATCAAGGGTCATACATAGATCAGTATGCAGTACAGACTAGTCTCGATACTGGCTACAAGTGCTCTGATCACTGCCACTATTGCCCTACCTCTTGAGGTAAATACAAAAAAGGAGCATTCATATAGCGACTTTCTTATACTGAAATGCATCAGACAATTACCGGAGGCTCAGCAGACACTATTGAACTCGGCAAGCCCTCGACAGTAATTACCTGGGGCAAGAATAAGCGCGAAGGCTACGACACAATCACAGAGCGCGACCCAACCGCGGTCGTCACATGGAGGAAGCGCGACAACCCTGCCGACACCATCGAGCTCGGCAAGCCTGGGACAGTTATTACATGGGGCAAGAGAAAGCGTCATGGGCCGAAGGACACCATTGAATTGGGGGATACGAGTGCGGTAGTGACATGGGCAAAGGAGAAGCGCGATGCGCCCAAAGACACAATTGAGCTTGGAAAACCAGACAATGAGGTTACATGGGGTTGATAAGTGTTGGCTTGGTGAGGGTTTAGGGTTGAAGTCAGGTCTCGTTCCAATCTTATTGTTTCTAGCTCTTCATCTGCTTTGGCACACCACAACAGGCTAAGCGCGTCGAATCTCCCACTGCACATTCGTGATGCTCACTTCTTCGCCAGACTTCTCATCATAGTCAAACCACTCGCCGTCACTGAGATCGATGCCGGTGAAGTTGGTGACCGTCTCTGCGCCCTTTGCCTCAAAATCTCCTTCGGGCTTGAACTCTGTGAACTCGAGCCCTCTGCAATCGAATTCGAGTATGTTGACCGTCTTGGGTGGGTCAGACCGTTCATATATCGTAGGGGCGGCTTTGATGCTCGCAGAGTGCTCTCTCTAGTGGGCAAGGTCAGCGCACGACAGAAGGGAGAGAGGGGGTAGGGGCAGCAAGACCTTACAGTTTTTACACCTCCAGACAAAGTTGGCCTCGCCCTTGCTGCCGCTGACCTCGTTCTGTTCGAAGCGGTTGAAGGAGACGTCGTTGGGATGTGTCTCGCGACATGAGGTGCACTGGACCTTGAATGTGTAGAAGAATGGCGCGTCTGCGGTATCGTGGGGGCGGAGGTCCGTTACCCTGTGCCAGGTCCACCACCATCAGCGTCAGGCGGGGGAGAGGGGGAGAGGAAGAGGAGAGGGGGAGTGCGCGTAGCAACATACCCATTGAGCTCTGCTTTGAGGGCTAGCGCGAGCACCATGATGAAGACGGGAATATGGATCGTGGTGAAGGTCCCAGGTCCTGCTCTCCAAGCGGCGGGTAGGCGGGCGGTGATGCGGGGGATGCGATGCGAAGAAGGGAGCGTTGGAAAGTCGGTGTTGCCCCCACCTTTCCCCTCGCCGCCCTTGGTGACGCGCGCCGCCCCTCCACCTATGTGCCCTGGCCCCTCCCGGTACATGATATGTAGGACGGTCAGGTACGTACTTGTGCTCATAGGTACCATGTAGAGTAATCCTGCATACGAGAGTAGGTACCAGCAACTGCTAGTAGGAGTACTACTATTGTACGGCTGCCGGCTACCGGGCGGCACAGGCACAAGCACAGGACCGGCTACTACGACATGTTGCGTCACCTGCGGTCCTACTGTTACTCTAGGTAGGTCGAGGGGTTGACGGTTTGGTATGTACCATGTACATGTGGAATAGTACTGTAGGTGCTGTGTATGTAGGTACTAGTACTTCAGGCAGCATCATGGCATAGAACATACTACACAGTGGTGCCTACAGGTACCGTACCTTGGGCACGGAGCGCCTACGCCAAGCCACTACCTGATCGCCGCGCTCCGTGCCCGCCGACTTTCTTGCGCTGTCAACTAGACGTAGAGTACGACCGACAACTGCTGGCCGCATCCCACTCCTAAGCATTCACCATCCCAAACCTCGACAATCTCTCGACAGCCTCTTGACATTTTTGAATAACGATCCTGCAAAAACATGGCTGTACGTCGGCTCTTGGAATGGCCTTTGGTGATTTCACCAGTAATGCTGCCATGCCCGCTGACTTTGTACACAGGCCGTCGCACCCTTCAACCCTCGACCGCTGCTCCAAAACCTGTACGTCACGCGCGACCCCCTTTCAGCCAACACAGCTGCCTGGCCCAAGGGAATGCCTCTGACGTGTGATTAGGGTCGACAAAGATATCGTCGTGCGATTAAAGTGGGGCGAGACGGAATACAAGGGTAGACTCGTCTCCGTTGACCTCTACATGAATATACAGCTCTCAAATACCGAGGAATTTGTCAATGGCGTCAGTTCAGGAACGCTTGGCCAGGTCCTGATAAGGTGCAACAATGTCCTCTGGATTGGCAATGCGGAAGAGGTGGAACCCAAGGCCACCAAAGATTCGGCCATGAGCGGTTGAGAAGAATGACGTGACGTGTGAACCAAAGAAGAAAAGTGCAATACGGAGACGGTCATCTTTGTCACCGAGAAAGGGGCTTGATCGTAAAAGCAATAGGCATGACACACGGGAGGACAGCTATGCGCGCGGCGCGACGATTCCGCCGTGAGAGCACTGGTGTGCTACGCGCACAACTGCCTTTGGAACCTCTACGATTGTGCGCATCTTACAGATACATGAAGCCAAGCCGAACTATTCCACCTCTTCCACCATCGTGCCTCTAGTTGTCGTGTCCCTGTTGCCGCCAGGCGTTACATCAAGTCCGCGCAACTTACCCTCCAGCTCAAGATTGGGCCCCAATCTCAACCCTCCATCCCTTATCCTATACAATTTCTTCATCCTCATTGTCTCCAACCCTTCCAAAACACTCGCGGCATGACCCCGTGTCAGCGCATCCCCATCCTCGTCCTTCACCCACCGAATTATCTTTTCGATCTCCCGCTGTTGCATGATATTAACGTCCGCTACGCCACCCCTATCTTCATCAAGAGCAGTATCAAGACCACGCAGAAGACCTAGCAGCACAAGGAGTCCCGCACGTCTTAGCATTGCCTTGCCCCTTGACGTCTCCATAGCAAGCATCGTAAGCACCATTTGCAGCGATGTATCCACCATGGCCTGAGGCAGCAGATCGAGTCTATACTCCAACACAGTAGACAATACGCTTAATGCAGACGTCCGAATGCGTACATCTTCTTCTAGCCCGGTATCTTCCCATTCTCTCAATATGTTGGAAAGTGCGTCTAGTTCTGCCTGATCTTTCGGGTCATGTCCCTCGGGTTCGAGAACGTTAGGGACCGGACCGCCCCATGCTTCTTCCGTTTCTTCCTGTATGCGACGAGAGGCGTTTGAAATTAGGATACGTGAGGTTTGGGTATCATGTCGCCGACCGCGTCGACTTGCTAGGACCAGACAGGCCTTGAAAATTTGGCGCAATGTTTCATAATGTGTTCCCTTATTGCTCGACGGTCCTTGCCAGAGTTCCTGAGAGAGAACAATGGTATGTAGTAATTCTCCGATTCTCAGACGGTAGTCTAGAGATTCTTGCAAAGCCCTTTCCTTCTCCTCGGCCTCTTTGCCGTGACCGGATTTCAGCGACACTTCATCAATGTCGAGAAATGCTTCTGTTATGGTCTTCACAACGAAGGTTGGAATGCGGATTGCTAGAGAGAGGATGACTGGGGCGGCGGCTGTATGGACATATGATTCTGGGTCTGCGAGGGAGCTGGAAAGGAGCATGTGTATTAACGATGGTATGTCGACTACTGGGAAGGCAATGGGATTTCTAATGAGGCTGTGTAGGGTACTGAGAGCCCACACGCGATTGGGAGGATCGGCGGAGGTAATTTCCGATAGAACTGTCTTGAGAGTTGCGCGGTAGTCGCTGAGGGGGTCGATGAATGGAGTCGTGGTTGCTGTTGCAGACGAGTTCAGCGCGCTAATGAGCTGCAAAAGCGTGGATGCGGAGCTCCGGATAAGAGTTGAGATGTCGGCGTTGCTGTGTTGTTGAGTAAGATATGTGAGAGACGGCAGCGTTGTGTTCAGAGCTGCGATAATCTCTGGTGACTGTTGGAATCCGGGCGAAGACATTAATGCGTTCAATATACCGAGCGCGTAGGTGACCAAGTCGTCATCTGTTGTATCTCCACCTGCCGCGTGTGCCTCTCTCTGATCTCCGTCTTTCTGCTTCACAATGTGTTCGAACATTGCGCAGCTTGCAGCCAAAGACTTGGAACCTGCTGGTAGTTTCAACTTGTACCTATCCACCGTGTTTTGGATCAACTGTGCCATAAGTTCGATGATATTTCGCGGACTCCGTGCAAACTTGTCCTTGAACTTGATAGCTAGCATTTCGGAGAGTTTCGCGTCTATCAAGGGTGCTAGAAGATCGGTGTCAGTTTCATAGGTCAAACTCGCAGTTGCCTTCTTCGCGGGGGATAACCATCGCTTTGTGACCATGAGAAAAATGGTGCCGGCAATCGCGTCCGGAATGTCAGCATCTACTAGTAGAAATGCGAGAAGCTCAACCCTGGTACTAAGATTTTCGATGCGAGTTAGGATACTACTCATTGCACTGGGCCCTGATATTTCTCCGCTTCGTCGACGTATTTCTACACCACCATGACTACCGCTGCCAAAGATCCATGAAGTATCTCCATCCCAGAATAGATTCAGAGCGATCTTGTCGACGTATTTAGCCTCGCAACAAGTAGCCAAGTAGCGAGATAGAGAAGTTTGTGATAACCGTGTCCACTCATTGTCAAGGGAAGGTCTTGCCTTGGCGAAATTCAGAAGTGCCCAGAGCGGGAGTAGTAAAGGCCCGACGAGCCGTTTCATGAGGCCAGCGTGTGAGGAAGACGAAAGGATAGCGACAAGTCGCTTCAAAGCTAACTTTAGGTCCAGATCTTGGACAAGTACCTCATCTCCATGATGCATGGTTGGAAATTCTGCTTCAATCTGTTTTGGATAGATCTTCTGGAAGATTGGCATCACAAACAAGTCCCACCCTACCGTACCTGGCGCACCTGTGGTCTTTTTGCTGAGGATCCCATCGGCAATGATCTGTCCCGCTGCTCGAGCCAACTCCTTTCCTGACTCACCGTCAAGGAGGCTCAGGAGTTGAGGTGCGAGACACCGCAGCCATTTATCTTGACGAGTACCTGTCGGCGGCAGAACTAGTAGGCGTGACGCATGGGCAATAGCTTCTATGGGAATGGGTATCTGCGACTGCGGACCCAAGGCGTCTTGTGGTATTTGAGAGGTTTTGGATAGATAGGAGAGTGAAAGAAACTCAATGATATGCCTAATTCCTTTCTCTCGAAAAGGGAGATGGGACAATTCATTGGAGACGACGGGCTTCAACCAGGGCGGGAGGGGCTGTTGCAGGAGCGTGGTCAGAATAGGCAGCAGCCGCGATGTAGGTGTCTCCAGGATGACCCTGTGAAAATCACTTTGATACTTCTGGCGCGTCTTCGGGTTTGAAGTGGGAGAGAAAGACAACTCGGCCAGGGCTGTGACGATATCAGGGAGGACGCGTTGAGAAAGGAGTGGCTGCACACCGGTTCTGTTCTGTTCTAGGATAGGTAAGAGATGATCGATGACCTCGGAAAGCATCTCATCCCTCTCGCCAGTGCTAGGGAATTGCGCACTCGTCACAGATAAAACAGACTTCGGGCGTTGGCTGAAAGCAACACCAGGAGACAGATGCGGTATGATACCGAGTAGCATGACCAGATCAAACAAGCCATACGCGACACCGGCGAGAGATGCATCGTAAGGCGTGTTCACATCGGCCATGAGGTTGGCGGTATTGATGGCTTTCAGATGGTAAATCGCCTGCTTCACCAGCTCGCTGCGATCGAGATGCAAATTCGTATCTCGCGTGGGGCTATTTTGAAGATATGGACCCAGCAAGTTTGCAGCTGCATCTACGGCATCCTTGGTGACGTCCATGGGTACATGCAGCAACGGGTGAACATCAGTTGAGAGTGAAAGAATGAGCCCAAGTGCCAAAGTGGTCGGCCCCGGTGACTCGTTGCTTCCGATCGGTCAGGTGACTTGGCACGAGCATGACCACACGATTGTCACCCTAAATAGCGACGCGTCCCTGAGCACGCGAAGTGTTCTTCTCTTCCCCTCTTTCCACAACACCAACCACCCGACCACTTACGCCTTGCGGCCTCTGCCAGATTGACGTACCAAAGCCTTCCCTTTCATCGTTGCCAGACTCAACCCTTTCGGAGCATCATCAGATATTCTTTGACCATTGTCAACGACGGCGGGCCGGCCGCGCAACACTCCCCTTGATGTCGCCTCTTCTCTCGCTTGTCAACAAGCATACGCGCATGTCACTTTCCACACAGTTCCCGATGCCTGATTTCCATTTGGAATGTGGTTCGCCACGCCTCACCCACTTGCACAAGTCGATACACACCTGAGCCTCTTAGCATGGTCTCAATGGGTCGTCTGCATAGTGATTCGTGCACCTCGATGTTCACATCGAGTTTGTGGGTGAAGAGGATAGGCTCGGATATTAACCCTAATCATCTTTCGGTACCCATCTCGCTTGCTGAGATGGACAGCTTCGCGGTCATGTCGCCGACCTTTCGATTAGCCTCCAGATGCCTGCCAGTTCGCTTTAGCAAACTGCCTCGCAGATGCTGCGCAAAAGGAAGACTCGAGGTACGGGAGCCCCGGCTTTAATTGAGGTTCCATGTGCCTGTTGGGGCGTTAAAGTTCTCTTACAAGAACCACGTCGGCACCTCACCCGTGCAACAGACTCTGGCCAATATGGATAGCTTCACGACGGCTGCTGATATATGAAAAACTGAGGAGATGTCTGACGAGAGCCGCCGGCTACTTTGCTACAAAGACTGGCCCTGGGTTCTTGAATCCGTTGATGCCTGAGTTGTCTCTATTGAGACATCGTACGGAAGAAGCCGCCCCATGTACCAAACAACTAACATGTACCAGCCCGGCCCTTTGAGTGCTTGCGTTGCGCAGAAGATGAGCACGTACTTGATTTCGATCTAGTCTCACACAAGGACATATGACCCTGTTTTGGCTTCGGCTGGCGTGAGATCCACTCGTCGGAAGGGCGTTAGCCTAGCGAGGTCTCGATGCGTTTCAGATTCATATTGTCGACGATGACGGTCCGTCTAGCTCCGGATCTGAAGTTCAACGCTCGACTCTCTGTCGTCGAACTGGACCACATGCGTTGGACATGGTTAGCTTCGTTTGACACCGTACGTTGTCTAATTCGTGCCAATTCATCGCTGAAATCGACGAAGCCACCCGTGCGGCTCTCCAATCAGGATGAAAGTCCTAATCACGCGTCCAACCTTGTTCTTATCAACGCCTTTTGGAAGCCTGTGTCACGGTCCTGGACCAATTGTCACTAGTCACGACAGTGTGATATCCGACCAGTCGCGTCAATTGTCAACATGTAAGATCTGCTTACATATGGATTGGCAAGCGTTGCCCTTTCCCGATCGAACAGTTTCTATAGCTGTTACGACCGACCATGCGGTTTTTGAGGATGTACTTTGTCCGCATCAGAACGCCCTCCAGAATCTGATAAATGATGGAGTGGAATCAAAGACTAGTCTCGGAAAGTCATGCTACCACACTCAGAGAGAAGCGTACGGAATTGACACTCCTGTTCGATTATATCATTGGGCGTTTGTTGCGCGTCCGTTGTGCTATCTTGAATAGAAGGCTATTGACGATTGTCTCCCGACAATGAGGCGATGGTGATGGAGTAATGGGAAGGTCAGTAGTACTGACCAAAGGCTTGACGGCCAACTTCTTTTGCAGCGCGACTATTTGACAGAGCGCAGAACCCGACCGCAATGATCGTCTACTAGAGAAAGCCTTTGTACGGAATAACTTGCGGGAGACATTGGCATATCATGATGGCGCATTCGAACATTGTGCGTTGGCCATGACGAGATGCCTGCTGTGCAAGACTGCCTAGATGGGCCTTTCCAGTGTGAGGTGCAGGCTTAGACCTATCCATCTAGGTTGTCGCAAGCAAGCTCTTGGGTCAATCTGCAGTTATTCAATTCAGCTACTTGATTATCACGTCAAACCTCCGCGCAACTCTTCTATGGCTGAACTTTGGGAGTTCATCTTCAACGTCGGTATGGGGGCGTGTTTCTGCGGAGCAGTAGGCGTATGCGCCGGACTTTGAGGGCAAGGGCTTAAGGGCGGGTGGAAACAATGCCGTTCTCCGGAACGGTCCAATTTTTTTTTCATAAGTACCCCGAACCCTGAGCAGTGGAAGCTACGCTAATATGCAAAGTTGTCTTGGAACTGCTCCATCATTTGTAATGATCCTGCAGTCACCATGCCATTGACTATGTCTAGCGAAACAGGAGCCCCCCGCATTCAGCCTAAGAAACAGAGCTACGAAGCGAACTACAAATCATCTAGATAACATGTTGGATCCGTCGCTATTCCCTGCAAATTAACGCTTCAAAATGCAGGCGTAACGAAAGAGGCCTACGATAGTAGCTGTACCAAGACGACATCATCATGCTGGACTAAGCGCTGACCATATCCCAGAGCCAAGAAGGAATACCAGACTGCCTTGGCTTGTGTGGTGGCAACCGCGGATAAAACGGATTCAGACCGATTACTTGTTCAACAAGATGTCATCGTCGATATAAATGCAAGTGAACACTCCGTCCAACTATTAACATCAATAATCGAGTATTGAAAGCAGACGCAATATACTTCCATCCTGGTATCGCTTTAACAACGACATCAGCTAACCTGTCCCAGACAACGTCTTACTCGTAGTTGGTAATCTACATGTACACAGCTGTATTGCAGGGTATGTACCTGACGGGGCTGTACGGTTCTTACAGTGCGTGAAAAAAAACCCCGGAACTGCCTCGTTGCACTCTTGTACTGTCGCACACCGCCATTGGTCCCGGAACGCATGCTGCCTGCACACGCACAATATACTTATATAAAAGAGGCATAAATTTGTAAAATTCTGTTCACTGATATAGGGAGCAGATCAGCCGGCCTCAAGTCAGAATGCTTCATTTCACATTTTACCTCATCACTCCTTTTCTACTCTCACGCGCAATACGCGCTGACACCTGTGCCTCAGTCAAAGCCTTGGGATATATGAACATAACGTATGCTTTGGATCTGGCCTACATCGAGGAACACACCCAGTACTGGTCCACATCGTGCTCGGCGCTTCTGCCCCCATGTATCATCTTCCCTAAAAATGTGGAGGAGGTATCGACAATTGTGAAATTTCTTGCAAACACTCCAGAACCGTTCGCTGTCAAGTCAGGTGGACATAATCCCAACAATGGCTGGTCTAGCGTCGCAAGAGGTCTCTAATTGCGATGGAACATTTGGACCAAGTAAATCTCGATCAACGCACAGGCATTCTTGATGTAGGGCCTGGAAATCGTCTTGATGGAATTTCTGCAAAGTTGCAGGGCACTGGTTGGACTTTTGTTGGCGGTCGAATTGGCAACACGGATGTGGGCGGTCTAGTTCTTGGTGGGGGGCTTAGCTATATGTCTACACAATATGGATGGGCAGCATCTTCGGTACTAGAGTATGAGGTCGTGTTTGCAAATGGCACTATCGGACACATCACCCGCGACGGGCATCCTGACGTCTTGCGAGCGCTTAAAGGTGGAGGCAACAACTTTGGCACCGTCACCAACTACAAACTACAAGCACATTCGCAAGGCAAAATCTGGGGTGGCAATCTGGTATATCTGCGCACACCTAAAAACGACGAGCAGCTGCTTCAGGCAGTTCGGGACTGGACTGAATACAACGAAGACGACAAGGCTGCTGTCATTGTTACAGCTGAGCGGGCAAACATTAACATCGTCGATTCTTGGATCATCTTTCTGTTCTATGATGGACCATTGCCACCGGCCGGACTTCTTGCGAACTTCACCGATGCCAACCCGTTGCTTGGACACTACGGGAACACGAACCTATGCTGATCTCATGGCACTAAGCAACTGGGTTGTTATTAAAGGGAACGTTATCGACATTGCGACTGAGACTATTCCTTTGCCATCATCTGAAAATGCGGTCGAAGTGATGGCAGGCCTCCACGCTCACTTGCGCAATGTTTGAAGCACCACGTTGCTTGTCCCCGGTATAGTAGCGTCGATTACGTGGCAACCCTTTCCAAAGAAGATCGCACAAAGGGCGAGGGAACTTAGCCCTGACCTTATTGATGCAGATGCGGATGTAGATCGCATCATCATCGAAATGAACTATGCCTTTACGCCGCAGTCACTGTACGAACGAATGGAGACATAATGGAAGTAACTTACACTGGTGTCAGGGCTAGAGTCCTCGGATGGCAGACAGAGGGCAAGCTCTCTGATGCATACCTGCCAGTGTTCATGAACTGCGGCTTCTATCGTCAAGATTACTTTGGAAGACTAAGGCCGGAAAGCAGAGCTCTGGCTAAGAGAGTGGCACAAGATGTTGATCCAAACGGACTGTTTTGCACTCGGACAGGCGGTTAGAAACCATAGAAGACGCAATCGAGAGCTATTGTATAGGAGCTTATCAAGCAAATTTATATTAAACTTTCTAGCCTTAATTAATATCCTAGGTAGAATCTATTAGTATATAGATTAGCATACAATAGTTACACTAAATTTTAGGCTAGTAGAAGCCCTACTTTAATTCTAAGTGCCTTAGCTATGCACTTAACTTCTTAGAGAGAATATAGCTATAAGAACATAGGTATAACGATTATATAAGTATATTATAGTAATTACTAAACTCCTATTATACTATAGTTTATTATTTTTAATTTAAATAATACGTTTAGTTATATCCCTAGTTAATAGATATTATTACTTATACTTATGCATCTTTAAGAACCAACAGTATAGTTTAACATTAGTGTTTATATCGCGTCTATTTCAATCCTTATAATGTAGATTGTAGAGACAATAGTCATAATACAATATTAATTATTTTGATTTGGTTTAGTCTCTACAATAAGCGTTTCGGCCTCTATTTGGCTAAAGTCTCCCATTCAAAGGATGCAGGGGTAAATCTACAATTTGATTTTCAGAAAAGTCCAATCGGTCTTGAAGGGGGTATATATCCTATCCAATGGCGCAAATGTTTAGTACAGGAGAAGGGGCTGCAGGGCCAAGCAAGCATTAGGTACAACAGAAATTAGACATGCAATGAGATAGTCAAAAGGGGGAACGCTCGAAACGAGCTAGATAGATAAGAAATGTACAAAGGAAATTGGTTGGTTGTTTGCGATGCGCAGTGCAGCAGATGATGTGTCCTACCGCGACAGCTCTCGTCCAAAGTCAAGTGCCAGAGGTGTGAGCTCTGCGCCGTCCATAGTGCTCTCATCCTCGTAAAACCCGCTCTCGCTGAATGGTTCAAGATCTGCATCCTGATCGTAGTTTGCCTTTCGCATAAGCGGCGGCGTCCGCGGCTCAGCAAGCTGAGTCTGCTTCTTCAAACTTGGGAACCCAGCATCAGTCGAAGCATGCGAGCTTGACGAGTTGGAGCGCGTGTTCTCAGGTCGTCTTGTAGACGACGACGAAGGAAGATCAGGCGTGCGGCGCAAGTTGGATTTCGGTGGTGTCATAAGCCCTGACAGGAATGACTGTCCAGACTGAGATGCGGCGCGTGAAGGCGTCTGATTTCTCGATGCAGTTGCGGGATTGCCAGCGAGTGCAGATGCTGCCTCGCCGCGACCCTTGCTGCGCCAGTTGCCAAACGCTGCAGCAAGTTGGACAGCCTTGGGTGATGCAAAGTTGGATAACGAGGAAAGGGTTGGGAAGGTTTGTTGGCCGCCTGTGATGAGACGCTCCTTCTCAGACTGCTCCATCTGTAGATTCGTCCTGATGCGGATAGCTGCATCACGAACAGTCTCGCGATCAAAGGTCGGCTGAGCGAGAGCGTTGATGAGATCATTCAGGTCGTCGATGCGTACACCTAGCAGCTCACGGAGCCAGTTTATTTCCGTGTCACGCTCCTTGAGCTTTGCGGGAGCCTCTACATCCGCGTCTTCGAGCTGGCGCTCGAGCGACTCAATGCGGCCTTCACGCTCCTGAAGTTGCTCTTGAAGAACTGAGATGGACTCGCGCAGAGCCTGGATCGAAATCTTCTCGGTACCGCTCGGGGCTGACGAAGATGCAGGTGCCGACGATTTTGACGCGGCAGCGATAGCAGCATTAGCAGCCTCTTTCGCGACTTGAAGCTTCTCTTCCAGCAAGGCAATCTTATCCTTGAAGTGTTCCAATTTGGAATCAGCCAGTGCGAGCTTGTCGTTGTGGAATGCCTCAGCGCGCTTTTTGTCCTCACGAACAAAGTCGAGGGCGCGAGCATGCTCTTGCTGAGCGTGCTCGAGCTGGCGTTCGAAGCTGCGTTGCTGTTCTTGCAGATGCTGTCTGTTCTTCTCCAGCACTTCATGAACAGCTTGCTTCTTTGCGTCCGAAGCAGCCTCGAGGTCAAGTTCGTGTCTTTCCTTCGCAGTATCGGCATCTAGACGGACTTGGTCTAGTTCGGCGCGAACCCGACTAATCTCACTCTCCAATTCGTGTCGGACAATGTTGACTTGATTGTTAGCAGCATCAATATCCGCATCCATCAATACACGGGTACGGCGGATTTCGACGTGAGCAGCGTCCCTGGCTTCGCGCATGTCACGCTCGTAGCGCTCAGCATTCTTCTGATGTTCCAGCGACTCTCTCCTCAGCTGATCAACAGCCTCCTCGAGTCTGGCGTTGTGCTTTTGAGTTTGTTCAAGATGGATACGAAGTTTCATGCCTTCATGTTCTTGGGTCTCAAGACGCTCAAGCTCCCTTTCGAGACGCTCGCGTGTTCGCCCTTCAGCCTCAATGCGAGCACTAAGGACCTCATACTTTGAGTCTGCAGCAGCTCTCTCTTTCTGCCACTGGGCTCGTTCAGCGGCAACCTGCTGGGATGCGGTAACCATGTCCTGCTGTAGCTGATCGAATTTAGATCGCATAACCTCACGGACACGAGCAGCCTCCTCTGCCTGAAAGCGAGCTTGGTCGACTGCTTGACGCAATCTCTCAGACTCTGCGTAGGCAGCTTGGATGTCTGTCCTCCACTTGTCGGCAGACAAACGATGCTCGTCGAGAGTTGATGAAAGTGCTCTATTCTCAGCAGTGATAGAAGAAAGTTGTTGCTTGAGATCTTCTTCGGACGTCTGGAGCGCAATAGTCTTGACCTTCAAATCCTCATTTTCGGCCTCCAGGTACGAGACCCGGTCTCTAACATCATCATTCGTGACCTGGTAAGCGTCCAGACTACGACGTGCAGAATCTCGCTCCTCTTTCAAAGCGCGCATCCTGTCCTCGTCTTCTCGAGCAGCCTGTTGAAGCAGAGCAAGCTCTTCCTCGGTCACCTTGAGAAGACGTGTTGTGTCAGTCTCCCGAGCCTCTGCTACAACACGAGCCGCAGCCTCCGCATCGCGACGGAACGTAGCTTCCTTGAGCTTGCACTCGAGGTCAGCGATGCGACGATCTCTCTGTTGCACGGCCTCGGCTTCGGCTCGAGCGGAGAGTTCAAGGCCCTGTCTCTTGAAGGCGTCATCCACAACTTCACGGACATGGTCAGCCTGGAGTTGTTGACTCGTATGCTGCGCGATAGCAGACTTGAGGCTATCGACAGCCTGGTGGACCTCCGACATATCGACTTTTGGTTGTGGGATTTCGGCCGGTGCCTCCGAAACGAGAGACTGATGAGCAGCTATTGCTTCTGCTATGATACTCTTCAAATCTGTTGACCAACTCTGTTCTGGAACTCGCGGTGACGCGGGCTGAGGCGCGTGTGTTGCAAAGGCCTCCATGACAATAGAGCGAATATCATCAATTTGGATAGGCTCAACAGGCTGGCTGTTAACTGACGGGGTGGAGGCGATGGCATCCTGCACAATAGCACGAATCTGATCAGCAGAAACCGGTTCCGCAGGTGTGGCCGGTGGCTGGTGTGACACAAGCACATCGGTGACGATCTCCCGGATCCTTTCAGGCACCGTTGGGTCAAGTGCAGGAGGCGGAAGAGCAGCAAGCTGTGATTGGTGCGTCTCTAATGCCTCCTTGATGATGGATCGCATCTTCTCAAACCTCTTGTCTTTGCGCGGAGATCGATTTCGATGGCGCGACTCCGCACCAACATCGTCATCCTCATCGTCTGCGTCACTGTCAAGACGTTCATTGGTGGACATGCTTCGGCGACCACGTCCAGGACGTTGAGTGATTTTCGCAAGAGCCTCATGTATGCCTTGCAGGTTTTGCTCTAGCGGGCCCAGGCGATTTTGCAAAAGCCGGCCCAAGATTTCATCAACATGTGTGTCGAAGAAGCGACTACGAGTCTGAATCTTTTCTTCTCCCTCGGTGAGAAGTCCCTCATCCCAGTCACTCACTGGCACATCTTCCGCGTTGTTCAGACGATGCACAGGCGAACTATAGTCGACGACTGCACGCTCATCGTCGAATGGATCCTGATTTGAAGTCGCCGATCCTTGCATATGCCGCAGCATGTTGAATCGGCGAGGACTCGGACTAGGCGCATCGCTGCGCATCTTCAAGTTGGGTTGTAAATCCCTTCGATCGAATTCATGCGGAGTTCGGTGAGGAGATGACTGTTGTTCCCAAGAGTTGTCATCGCGTTCTACGCCGAAATCCGACCCTTCCTCGTTCATATGCTTCATGACGGCATCAATATCATTGAATGAAGCGTCGCCCAGGACTTCCATATCCACACTCTCGCTTTCATCAGCGTATCGAGCATGCCGTCCTGATTCCAGCGCGGTCTTGAACGATCCATCGTCGCTAGGTCGGAAAGTAGTCGCCGGACTCCTGCTCGATCTCGGAGGTGATGTTTGTGACTTCTCCATATCTTCCGAACGGGAAGGCTTTGTGACGTGGAAGCCAAAGTCGTAACCGCTACTACCCAATTGCGGCTTGAACTCGAACGGCTTCGCACTTGCTGATAGCGAGCTCTTGTGGCCATGTTTCTTATAGCTTGGCTCAGGGTTCTCCGTCGTTGGTGTAGGCACGTCGCTAGCAGACGGACTATGACCGTCGTTGCCCACTTCTGCCGTATTGATAGGCATGGCAGTTGGCGCAAGAGCATGAGACGAGAGTGCCTCACGGTTTTGTAGCCCGCAATCTTGTCTCTTGGATGCAGATCTTGACCGAGCACGCTTGGTGTCTGGAGACATATTCTCCTTGTCTTCTGAAGCTTTGCCCTGCGCTACACATGGACTTTGCTTGCCCGATGTGTTTTGTTTCGCTTCGCCCAACGGCTGTGATGCAAGAACTGGCTGCAGCGCGAATTTGGGCACGTCGTCTCCGTCTGCACGATCACGCCGAGCACGTTTTTCGCGCCCATCAACCTGCAGTGGACGGCCGGAAGCGTCTTCCCTGTCTTTGCCTTCTTCGGTCTTCTTCTCGTTTGCGGTGTCTGGACGAACAATAGGAACGGCCTTGGAGCGCGTGGCAGGTTTGATAATGTCGCTAACAGAGATGTTGACGTCCCCAAAAATCTTCGACGAGAAACTTGTCGGCGCTGTGTCTGTTTTGAGAGGGTCAAATGTAGATGCGGTAGGGCTAAAGACCGGTGCTTCTGGCTTGAAGGTGGGAGGGTTGGAGAAATCGAAGCCGCCAGTCGGGAACGATGCTGCAGTCGCAGGAGGAAGTTTTGATTTCGCCGCTTCCGGGCCTGTTGCAAAGGAGGGACCTTGTGCAAATGGATTGAACGCCGGCGCAGTAGGCGTGAACGCAGCTGCGGTGGGTGTGAAGGCTGGCGCGTCGGGCTTAAAGGTGGGCGCTGAGACCTGGGAGCTAGCAAGCCCATCCATGCTGGACATGCCGTCGCCAGACTTTGTAGCATCAACCGCCGGCTTACTTGCAGGCGCGAAGTTGAAACCAGACGAGAAGGAGCCTGGATTGAAAGAGGCCGCAGGGTTGAATTTGAACTCCTTGGCTTCCACATTGAGTTTGGAGTTTGATGACTTGGAAGTATGTTTACTGTGCATGGCTGAGCCAGGTTTGCTGAAAGCAAACTTGTTGTCTTTCCAAGAGTTGCTCATCTGCGACGTGGCTTTGGAGTGCTGCGCCGAGTCCTGAGCAGCATCGCGGATTTCACCCTCATCTAGGCTTGGGTTTGTGTTCTCTGAAAGATTGGTGCGAGCGCCATCACTGTCGGCGCGCGCATTTTGCTGCGCCGGAAACGAAAACGACTGAGGCTGTTGTGATTTGGCAAGAGAATGGGCTCTGCTATGCGGTTGTGGCTGATGCAAAACAGTACGTGAATCCTCCCAGGAAGAGTTCGCGGTAGTATTTGGGAGCTTGAATTGCGCCTGGCTCTCAGGTTCTGTACTGAAATCTCCTCCCTCGGCAAATTGTTTGTCAATGGCCTCTTCCAAGTGGTATTCTTCATTGGCAGCCTCACGTTCGAGGTTCTCGCTAATATTGTGGCGATGGCCACGAGGAGTTGGAACAGCAATCTCGGGCGCAGTGTTATTGGCATGTTTGATTGCTGGAAGCTCGTCTTCCTCATCTTCGTCTTCGGGCACTTCAGCAAGCATAGTAGCAGCAAGCGTAGAGGACGGTCGCATTCCAAGAAGCTGTTGTTGCTGTTGTTGAAGCATCTGGGCCTGTAGCTGCTGCTGCTGCACCTGCATTTGTAATAGGAAATCATCCTTCTGCGTCGGCGTGATGGGAAACTGCTGGTGGGGGCTGAGGCCATGTGGAGAATGAGGGGAGCGTAGACCAGAGAGGTTGGGCCTGTTGAGGGCCGGCGAACCGCTTCGGCCATCTTGCGAACCAAAATAGCCACCTGGCGACCAAGTCCCGGAAGGCGAAATGGCATGTTGAGCAAAGTTGGCCGGTGACGCAAAAGTCGAGTGACGATGCATGTGCATACTTGCTCGCGGATTTCCAAATGCAGCCGGGGATGCAATGGATTGCCGCGACATGTGTCCAGGAGATGGGCCAAGAGGAAAGTGGCCAGATACTATGCTTCCTTGCCGGCCCATGCGATGATGACTGCCTCCAGAAGAAGTCGGTATCGGGGGCGAAAAAGGTAGACCAGGATGTTGGGAAGATGTTTGCCTCGACATGGGCAGCGGCACGTCCTCTTCACCTCCCATGCTAACTCCGAGTGCTGCCAACTTGGCTTCCAACAAGGAGTTTTCATAGTCCTTCCACTCGGATAGCTTGGCCACACGAACCATGTAACGAGAACCAGCATTTTCGCGCTCGGCCCGCACATCTGCTTCCGTTGGCCATATAGGTCGGTTATGGGGCTCGACTGATCCTGTATCAAAGCCACGAATATCGTAACCTTGAGATTGCAGCCTTTGAAGTTTTGCATTCACTGCATCTTCCGTCATGGGCTTTGGGGGATAACCAGGGTTGCCTCGAGGAATGTCTCGGGGGATTGAAATGATGCACCCTTTGCCTTTGACAATGACTTTCTTGCGAACGCGAGGCGTGTGCGCACGCACGGGCTCTGGTGGTGCTAGGAAGGACTGGCCCGTACTTTCCTGAACGGGGTTGCCCGATGGATGGCTGTTGCTAGGTCTGACGGGCTTCTTCTCGGCCGCAGAATCGACAGCAGACGGGGAAACGTGGGTAGGAGTGTTGTAGGACGGGGCTGTAGGTGATGTGTCAGCCTGTGCATGGCGTCTGTTGGCTGTGGGCGCAGAAAATGGCGGACCTTCTGATGCCTGTCTTGGAGGCAGAGCCGCGTCGGCATCTGCATACTTGGAGGCCATCATCTTGCCGATTGCCGTCTTCTCGTCCTTGCTGAAATGGCGCCAAAAGTCCTGTTGGTTCAAGGTCTTGTTGGTGTTGCGGCCTTTGTGGCCTCGTTTGAGGGGAGGCTGAAGAAGGGGTTCCGGCTTGTCGGCTGATGCCTCGGTGTCGCTACTGCTATTCCAGTCGTTTGCTTCCTGATTCCACCTCGTCTCCAAGAAGCGGCGCACCCACTCTTCCGAGGTGGGATTGGTGTCAGACGCACGTGTGGTGGTGCCAGACGGGTGGGCTTCCCTGGTGGGTGTCTCAAGATCGGGGAGGCGAGAGCGGATGAGATGCTCGAGCGTAAACTGGACTGGTGAGGCGTTTTGGTCCAAGCGCGGAATTAAATGCTCGAGATTGAAGCGATTGGGTGACTCCTCGGCCAGCTCCAAGCGCGATGGCAGCAGATGCCCCAGGCCAAACTGCAGCGTCGAGGCCTCCTCGTCCAAGTCGTCACTGCCAAAGTGGGTCGAGACGTGACGAGACGCGTTGTTGAAGGGTGGCGGTGGTGGATGACGGTATGGACTGCCCCAGCTGGCGGTGTAGTAGGACGTGTCGGTTCGTTCGTTCCTCGCGGCGTTGGAGGGCGTGCGCGGGTACTGTCCGAGGGCAGAGAAGGAGGGGAGGGGAGGAAGATCCGGGCTCGAGTAGCCGAGGGTGCGAGCTGGCGATGGGGCAGTCCAAGTGGGCGATACGTGACTCTGTTCCTCCGACGGGCTCTGTGCTGCGCCGAATTGCTGCGAATGCGAAGCAAATGGGGGCGGCGACGACGGCGGGGCGGACGACAGCGACGAATACGGGCGAGCTGGCATTCAAGGGCAACCGTCGACTACGTTTCCTCAGGCGGGGGAGCTGGGAGCAGAACGCCTTTGCTGTGTCTTCTTCTCGCGCGTCTGATATCACCCGACTTTGTTGATGCAGGACTAGGACGTATCACCTAGGGTAGCGGTAGCTATTGGCCGACGTGCGTGTCGGTGCAGATAGGTAGGCAACGTTTGGCGAGCAGCAGTATTAGTAGGGTAGACAAGAATGAAAGGCGACCGAGGGGTAGCTAAAGGAGCGACATGGGGTTGGAGAGCACTGGTTGGAGATGAATGGGACGAGCCAACATGGCGGAAGAGCAGGCAGAGGGCAAGAAAGAGCAGGGGAGGAGGAGAAGGAGGGGGAGGAGGAGAGGGAAAGAGGAGGAAGCAACCAGAGCAACAGCAGCGGATGCAGGAACCAAAAGTGGTGACAATGGCGGACAGCGAGAGGTCGAAGAACAACAGGAGAGCAAAGCACGGGCTTAAAGGGAGCCATGCCCATTTGCCCCGATTGCCCACTAGGTAAATGAGTTGTCTTCGGGGCGACGACGGTCAGGGGGCCAAGCAGCAGGGATGACCTCAGCAATACCAAGGTAAATCAGAAATCCATACAGGCACGGGACGTAGGTAGGTAGATACAGTACAGTGTAGCATCCCAGTCCCTGCTTTTAGATAGGCAGTAGGGAAACAACGGTGTAAGCAACATGGATGGTACGGGGTGTATTGCATGTATGCCCATGTGGTAGGTACCTGTACTGTGTACGAGAGAAACCAATACGACGAGGACGAGGACGAGGACGAGGACGAGGGGAGGTCTTAAGCGCAAAAGGCGGCACGGCACGACGGGGCACGTTTTGGACGGGGGGCTGTACCGGCGGTATTAGTACCATTGCGGGCCACAACAGGTTGCACGGCGTCGTCGAAACATTCTTCTCGAAAGACGGAAGGAAGGCGGGAAGGGGTCGAAGTTCGAACGTGCTTGCCTTGCTTTGCCTTGGCTTGTCATCAGCCCTACGACGCGTTTCCCTTTCCCACCTTCTTTTCTCTACCGGCGGTCAGAGCTCCTTCCCTTCCCTTTCGTCTTCCTTTTCCTTCCTTCCCTGCCCGCCTTCCCACCTTCCCACCTTCCAGGTCACAGTCTAGAGTAGTGTCACACTCTTCCCACCTTTCCCCAGCCTATCATTCTTTTTGTAGTTAGACTCGGCATCGTGGACGCGTCTCATTGGCCGGTAGGTCGCTTGCAAAAGCAGCCAATGAACATGCACAATCTCTACCTCTGTTCTACTAAGAGTAGCATACATGTATCACATCCATCATCTGCAATGCGCATCATCATCATCTTCATCACCAGCCACCCTGCCCCCACCCCCTCTTCATAGGCTAAAGGAGGTAGTGAAACAGAACAAAAATTAAAATGAAAAGGACTTATACAAAAAGGGAAAAATTTGTCGTTAAAAAACAAGAGCCAATCACCATGCTTGCCCAACTGCCTTCATGGTGGTACATGTGGATGAACGCAAATGCCCAGACTATGCGCAAGTGTCGAAGCCTGGGTACCCAGGTACCGAACAGTAAATACGATGCTCTGCTTCGAGCTCTAAATAACCATCCCATCATCTATCTTGGCATTGCGAGGTTGCCGGCCCTTCAAACCCTCCGCAACATGAACATTCGTTTCACAAACGAGCTCTTCCTAAAGTCAGCCGCAGGTAGGCTTGGGTTGAGTATACCAGAACCCACAAGGTCAACCTCTCCCTCCACCTTGCCAGCAGCCGCCACCGCCGCCGCCGCCGCCGCCGCCGCCTTCTCTTCCATTTCACCAATCTTCCACGTCCGTACCAGCCACAGGAACATGGCAGCACCCACATACATGAAGCCTGTGAACAAGATGGCTCCTGTATAACTCCCTCCGTGGAAGGCTACAATCTCCAGTCCAATGACTTCAGCGACTGTGAAAATGTTAGCCATCATCACATTAGAATAAGATTTTTTTTTTCTTAAAAATCCCCACCGTCCCCTTCCTCTCAACGTTCAACGTACAGGTTGTAGGCAACACCAACACCAACCACGTGATATTCAAGGCACTGGGCAAGTCCACCAGCCCAATAACCTCCGTCATGACCGGCGCACATGTCGCCCAAAACGTCCCCGCCACCGTTCCACTGAGCAGCGCAAAAAACACTAACACCCCGTACCGATTCGCAAACGACCAAATCACGAGACAGAATAATCCGCTTAGAAAGGTCATGCTCGACGCCATATTCAGCCGTCCGACATTATCACTAAAGTACCCAATCGGTGGTCGTCCAATCGCTTGGCCCAAGTTGAGAATGGCACCCACTGTACTTCCTTGCTGCGCCGTTAGCCCAATGGTTTTGGCATAATTCGGGAGGGAAAAGAGCAGCACGACATAGCCGAGCATGCTCAGAAACCCAAATACAAGAAGTCCCAAAAACGGCATCCTCTTCAACAGGCTGTGATCAAAACTCAACTGTGAGCTTCCAATTTCGGTGTGGCGATCTTTGATGAGCAAGGCACAAGCCGTGTTGACCACAAAGGCCAGAACAGCCAGGATACGAAACGTCCACGGTAATCCAATGTCGCGGATCATGGCCTGAGCAGCAAGACTGTATATCAGTCCTCCTAAACCAGATCCGGCAGCACAAATACCATTGGCGAGCGAGCGATGCGTAGTGAACCATTGCGCAGCAATGCCTACGCTCCCCACAAACAGGAAGCCCATGCCCCAGCCAAAACACATACCCTGACTCAGGAAAAGTTGCCAGATTTGTGAGCTGAAGCTAGCGCCAATAAACGATGCCGTCTCAAGGACGACGCCGATGAGCAGCGTCGTGCGCGTGCCAAAGACGCGCGTGGTCAGAGTCGCAAGGGGGGAAACCACGAGCGCTTGGCTAATAGAAAGGCCTCCGATGAACGCGTAATGGAGCGGTGTGGCGCCAGGAAACACGTTGTTGGCGAGGTAGTAGGCGAGGAAAACGCCATAGGCGCTGTTGAGTCCCCATGTATGTCTTTGTCCATGGTCAATCTCTGTTCTGGGCAAATTTCTCCAAGGAGGACTGGTGTATAAAAGCCCTGGCGTGACCTTACCCGTTTATCGTAGCAACTGCTGCCACACACACCCATCCGTATCCTCCATTAGGTGGTACGTCCTCCACCTTCTCTTGCACGGCTTGATTCCCTGCATTGCCGGTTCCTGTCCCAGTCACAGCCTCTCTTTCCCCTTCGGCAATCTCATTCCGTCCACACAAGAGATTCTCATGGTTCCCTCTTTCCTCGTTCTTCTCACATCTTGGGATGCTCATATCCCACCTTCTCTCGGCAATTTTGGACATCGGACGCAGACGGAACGTTGTACCCAAGGTTTAGCGGTTGTCGTCGAACGTCAAGGACAGAAAAAGGTAGCAGTTCAGGCTAGCGGCAGAACTCGTCATGATTTTCGACGGCAAGTGAGGAGACTTTTAGGGGCCACGCCTCCCGAGGTTGTTCATAAGTGGAGCTAGGTGCTATCGTTCTGGTGGACATTCTCCGGGAATAAGCCGACGTGAGAATTCTACCGGAACTGGCACTCTGCCCAGGCGGCCCGCAACGGCAGAACAGCCGTAACCCTGACTCACTTTACGCTTTACGTCGTGAGAGGAAAACAGCATCTCCAAAGGCATGGCGCAATGGATTGTTTTTGATAATCTACATAGAATAGCAAGACTCCATCATTCAAACAACGCTCTCCGACAATTTAGAGCAAATTTGTATCAGATTCATAATCGCAACATCCGCAAAAGCTCATCGTCCACTTGACTCGCACTGTGCCATGAACCTGTACATAGCCTCAACATTTGTGTACTCAAGAGGTGTATGTATATCCATATCATCTGCTTCGCTAGTGTGCAAGCTATCGTAACCAGATAGCGACGACGGGAGCCACGGATTAGTCTCCAAGAGAACATCGTGAAGAACCTCGTAACTCTGCTCCGAACGCACAGAATAGTCTTCTGACTCAACAGTAGATGGCGATAGCATATGTTGCCAATTGATAATAGGCTGCACATGTTGCCGGCCGACGACAGGCTCGTTGTAGAATTCACACTCTGAAGGAGTTTGGCTTGGAGCAAAAGGGAATAGTAAAGCAATGTCTGTACCGACGAAGGCATCAAAGTCTTCCTCTTGATGGACAACGCCTCGTTGTACTTCCAATTCGTTGCAAATCGTTTCCACTGACTGTGCATCACAGCCGGGAAAATGCACTTTGAGGGTCGATTGCTCGTACGAGATTGGAAGGTCTCCAAGTGATGACAGACGTTGGAGATCCTTCAAAACATCTGCAAGTTCCTTTACGGCTCGCGAGAAGTCCACGGATAGAATGTTCAAAAGACCCTCGCTGTTCAGAGACTCCTTCTCTACGGCAAAGGAGGCGAAACCCTTCACAGCCTTCAATGGGGTAAGAGCCGTGACGGTAGGATTAATGTTGAAGCTGACATAAGCTCCAGGAGAGGCTTTTGGTATTCCGCTAAGGGTGCGGTTTACCGAGTCCTGTAGAGCGGTCACCGTTTTAAAGCGTTTCTCGCCATTGTGCGGGTTGACACCATCGAATTGGGCCTTCTGGCCGCCGACGAGGAATGCTCTGACGGCCTGCGAAACGTTCTGGATGACCTGAGCAGGTGCAGCTGGTCCATGAGAGAAATAACGAGCTCCTCCAGTCCTGCCTGAACCCCAGCCGTAACCTCCAGCAGTGCGCCCTAGGGTACCACCAGTTAGGTTAGGACGTAGAGTGGAGGCAAATGGTGTGCGGCCGGCGTGTGCGGTCACAATGCTACCGATGCGCGACTTCGGAAAGGACGACTTGTCAAACCTGACGCCTGATTGAGCCGCCGAAGACGTGAACCGACGGATGGTGGATGAAATGGCCGAGTGCGTAGTGTACCATCGGCCTTTGCTCTGCTTGAGCAGCGCAATGCGGTGTAGCGCATGTTGAGGCGCATTTCTTACGAGTATTGGCTTAAGTTGGGCATGTGTTGGCCGTATGGCCTCTGGAAGCCGGTTTTGTATGAGTTGGGCAGCGTGTCGCCAGGCAGCCCTGAGAGCACATGTCAGTATCTGGTCCTGACCAAGGAACCAGGAGAACATACTTGAACACTTTTGTGTTCTTGATCACCATTGTGTGTAGTTGTACCATGGCAGGAGCCATGCTGAGAGTGTACAACTAGCTGAAAGGGTGATGGCGGTGGGAAGATGGAAGATGATGTGACAAGCTATGGGGAAGAGAGGCTGGAACTGAGGCGCAGTTGGCGGGGATTCGCCACCCCGAAGCGCTCACATGCAGCACTGCACGTGACTGGATGACGAAAGTCACATGGTCCCAGAGTACCACGGGAGTTTGCCTAGGTGAAACACTCCATCTCAAAACAAACATTGGCTGGGCTAGGTCTATTCGTGCCCAAACTGATCCAAGGGTCGGTTGGTCATTGTGCAATGTGTGCACGTACAGTCCGTTACAGTTGCAGAACAGCAACTGTGCGCGAAAAATTCACGATGCTTGTAGGATATACCGGTAAGCTTACAAGTTCATCTGCATGTACCCAGCATGTACTAGAGCAATACTATACGCACCCAGTACACACAGAAGGACCATGCGCTCGCCGCGCCTCTACAAGGGTTACTTCTCCTATTCGTGAGCCCGTATGCGCCGCCAACAGCGATTGACAGACGATGCAGTTGGGAGATGTTATGCACGATTCTGCACTACCAGGGCTGCCAGCCGGCCAGATGCAGTAACGCCACCCTAATGGGATAACCTGCACGAATTTAGGGAGCTGATGGTGAAAGAAACCATGATCGCAGATAGTATCTCGTATTGGGGTAGTTCTGGCCCGTATAAACTCTGGGCAAATGCCTTGTAGCGTCGACGACTCATACATTTTGCAGGAGCCGCCACCCATGTATCAACCCCTGACCACATAACTTTTTGATGTGCATGTGAAACGCCACGATAATCGTCAGGAACAAGCAAACAAGAGGAAGAGGGTCTGTAGTCGAGAGGGAGTACCTGGCAACAACCAGACACTCCATTATACCACTGCAGCAATACATAAATGTCTACATCCAGCAAGCCTTTGATACGCGCTCAATTGGAGGGGCTGGTATCCTCATCTTGCAAGACTGATCGTCATACTTCCAATGCTGGATGACGAGACATACCGAATTGCCCTATGCACCGGCTCCACGAAATCGGAAGCTACACATTGTCGTATCATGCTATGCGGCGATAACAAATATTCGCCGTAATATTCGATCAAATATGAAAGTCCAACATCGATTTTTGTACCGAAAGAGTCTTCCAGAGTGAACTGGCGAAATTTGTCGTACATTCGGGTATTGAAATTTTGAATGGAAAAGAGCCACCGGAACTGATGGAGAGCGTTCATGTTACGACGCAGAGTACCCAGATCTACATCCTGGCGCTGCTGGAGCTCTCGGCCGGGTCCTGTGGTATAATTCATGTGCAGAGTAAGGGGAGTATGAAAGAACAGGGTCATCTTGGTCTTGGCTTTCGTACTGTCGCTGAAGAAGTCGGTCCGTGCAGATTCGTGACACCTAGTTGGTGGTCCCCCGTCATGCTATCGACACTATCTCAGCAATCAATGTACATTCAAATGATGATGACCGCGGCACAGAATTGTCTACGAGGTAAACCTACCTGACGAGGAGAGTCTGTGTGACCGATACTCCAAGGGCCAGCGATCAACAGCCCAGCCACATTGGCCGCTTGGCATTTACTATCGACAGATGTATTAGAAGAGGTTCTCCGAGGAAGAGGAGTCGAGATTCGCAACAGTCACTGCGTGCCGACAATGACCGTCAGGCTTCGCAAGAATGTGCAAGAAAAGAACTAAATGCTTCACTCACAGCCTTGATTGATTCTTCCATAGGTCGATCAGTCGAATTGACAGCACTCTCCGGCACCTTGGTAGTTGCGCTCTGGAGATCAATTGTTGAAGGCACTGTAGCGTCCTGTGATACGCCCAATGATCCGTTGGTTTGATTAAATGCGTCTGCACTGCTGTAGGGATTATGGAATGGAGCCGGCTGCTCAAAGCCTGCAGGCCGAGGAACAGGAGGTTGGTGTAGTTCCTTGGGGCCTTCATTGCGCGCCGACTCATCTCGCTCGTCCATCTTGAGCACCCACTGTGCCCATCCATCACGACGACGTAAGCGATCCTGACCGTGCTCGCTGGTGCGGTATTCGATATCAGCAGATTGCTGGCAAACAAGCTTGATCAACTCCAAGTCCGAAGACAAAGTTTTGATTCGGTTGAATCCTGCAATGAATTCCAAGGAAACAAATCCTTGTGAGTCCATGTGGCGACGCAGATACATGTCCTTCAAAAGATTGTCGATAGAGAAGTAATACTCCCTACACAAACGTCAGAGAGTGGGACTGAGCAAATAATGGAAGACTTACACTTGAGTAGTGATCATATTGAAAAGGGCATAGTGATCAACTACGTAGTTCGTAAAAGGCACCGGACTTATTGGCGACATCATATTGTATTCATATAACGGATAACCTGGCATGGGAGCTGTTGGTCCATTCTGATAGGGTGGGAACCGATACGGGTCTGTGGCTGTCACCGATTGTGATCGGTGTGCGTTCCGACTGTACTTGCCCTGAGGCTGGGGAAAAAAGCTCCCGTTCTCAGAGTTGAGAACAGTTGGTGAACGAGGTCCCATCGGGAACGTTGAAGATGACTGCACCGAGTGGTGTCCGTTCATGTATTGATGCCCGTTTGGATAGCTCGATCGTGTACCACGGCCACCGCGACCACGTTCGCCTCGACCGCCAGGAAATGAAGGGTACCTTCCTTGTTTGGAATGGTTACCGTTGGGTCCATCATGATGGAAAGCAGCTCGTCGCTCACCATCTGCAGTTACCTCACTCTGCACTGGCACAGACGCACGGCGGTCATCAAAGGTGTTATCCTTGGTTGGTGATGATCCATCATCTCGTCTACGCTCCCCGGCGCCAGAAAAATCGGCTCGGCGGGCTTTGTTGGACCTTCCGGCGAACGGACGTGAATTTAAGCTACTGTGACCAGGGAATGTCCCAGAATCTGGAGTTCCTTTGGCTTGTGAATCTGCATCAGAGGTTGCAGGTCCAACAGACTTGGGGTTCGCATCTCCGTTCATAGCAGGTGCTTCGGGATTCAGCGTGGAGGTGACAACGCCGTTGCGTTTCGCCTTTGGAGACACATCGTGGGCGAGAGCTCCATCGTGGCGTTCCCGTTTTGCCTGCTCTCCGTTAGGTGCCGGGTCAGCCTCTGAACCTTCCTTATCGGTGTGTCGAGCCCCGTTGCTGGGTGAACCTGAGGGCCGACCGCTATTCTGCGCTCCACCACGACCTCCTGGTCGTCCACCTCGGCGCGCATTTGCGGCGTTGGGTAAGGGCGTGTTGAAAACCACGGATGGAGTGTATGGGACTTTCACCCACTCATGCTTGCCAGAGGCAGCACCATCTTTACGGTCCTTCTCGGGCTTCTCAACCTTCTCCTGTGCCTTTTTACGATCTTCATCGATAGCGATGTCTGGTGTAGGCCATGACTCCTGATCACGATTGGGTGGTGGAGGCAGAACGCCTGCGGACGCTTTCGTATCCTTTTCGGAGACTCTGCCCTTGACGCCTTTTCGGGCATCAGTGTCCCCTCTGAAGTCTTTGCGGCCTGAATTGGCGTCGTCACGCGCCCTGCTTCTACTTTCTACTCCAATCTTGTCTTGGGCAACCAAGTCGCTTCTCTTCATGGAATTGGTGGTAGGCGTGGGAACTCCATTTGTGGTGAGTGCTGGATTATGCTTGATTTTTGCTTTCTGTTCATCCGCGCGCATCTTCCAGATGTTTACAGCAGGTGGAGGGGCCTCTTGCAGAGGCTTCACGATGGCATTCTTGCCCTTTTTCACCTTCTCGGCGGTCTTCTCCGCTGGCTCGGCAGGTTTTTCGACAGAAGTCGAAGCTTGCGACTTATTGTCCCACGTCGACTCGGAGGAAGTGTTGGGTATTGAAGAAACATCATCGTCCTTGGTGACAGTAGAAGAAGACGAGGCTCCCAGATCTGGCGAGGATACACTGGATGTGTCTACCGAACGTGACACTCTACCGATGTTGGAACCAGAGCTCTGCGAGCGAGGCTCGCGGGATTGTGTAGGGGGATTGGGTCTGGACTCAATCTCCACGTCCTCTGCCCAGCTGCGAGCTGAAGCATTGGCGTCCTGCGTGGACACGTTAGTGGCCTCCTTGGCCTCGGCAGGCGAGTCGGGGAGTGGTTTCGTCGCGCTTGATGGTGCAGCAACGCCCTTTGCGGCTTGCGCATAGGAAAATGTGGCAGACATTTCGGTGGGTGCGGGCTGCCCAGCAAAAGTCCGATTGGTGGGGATGGAGGAAGCGTTTGCGATCCCTTGTGGGACTGCTATGGTGAGCTGGCCAACGCAGATGCTGACGTTGCTATGTCCGGAGAGGTGACTGGAAACCTCCCGGTCCGCAATGCCCTGAAATGCCACCAGGGTGTTACGCTAGCGACTGGCGGCTGCGACTGGCGACTTTGATCTGTGGCGGCTCTCCGACGTGCAGAGTGCAGATAGCAGGGCGATACGTGTGGCGAGACGTCTGTTCTGAGAGACGTAAGTGGTGGTGATGGGGAAGGTGAAGGCGCACGGAAGGTTGTCCGGTTGATGGGATATCTATTCGCAAACTGTAAAGACAGGTGTTAGCGGAGCTGCTGGTGGTTGCAGAAGACGCATGGAGGCTGGAGATGAGGAGGGGGGGTAGGTGACTAGATAGAAGAGGCCGTGACATGTATGGCGCGGGGAAGGTGCTGGGGGAGCGCACAGTGACTCTAGTCCACTTGTGTGTGCTGTGCTATGCTGTGCTGCACGGCGCTGCGCTGCGCTGTGCTAAGCCGTGCTATGCTGTGCTGTACTGTACGAATGACTGGGGCGGACAGCCGTGCAAACAGCCCCAGGCCAGGAGCTCTACGCGGGCCAGCACGGAAGCGGAAGGCGAGAAGAACCGCGGCGCGTGAAGCTCCCCAAACACCCTCAGCGCAGAGTGGGCAGACAGGCAGGCGGGCAGACAGGCAGAGAGGGGCAGACAGGCAGCGAGCGGCGGGCGGCAGCGGCGGCGGCGTGGCAGGCAATGCGTGCGAGACTCACCTCTGAGACGAGTCGGGTCAGACGTGAGGGCGAGCAGACTGGAGCAGCAGGTGCGTAGTGAGGGTGCAGGCTGTCTCACGGGAGGGAGGGAGGAAGGGGGGGGGGAGGCGCTTTGTGGGCGTGGTCGTGGGCGTGGTCGATGCCGGGGGCGGACGTGACGGCGGGCTCCAGGCACACGAGGGTCGCGGTATCAGGCGAGTCTGCTCAGGCAACTGGCGGGCAGGCAAACTGCAGACGGGGCGGTTGTGGCGACGACGACGAGGAGTCGTGGACAACGAAGTCGAGACAGACCGCGGGCCAAAGGGCAATATTGACAATCGTGTGTGCGGAGAGTACAAGCGCAGGTGGGAGGAAAGAGGGTCACTGTCAAGCGCGAATTTTTTGCTCTAACAAAAACCCAACCTGGCCCGCACTCGGCAACCAATTCACCACCAACCTTGGAACACCCGTGGACATGACACTCTTGTCCCCGAGCCCGAGGCAGCTAACGCCGTGGCATTGTGAGCATCATCCTGGCTCTTGGCCGCGCACCTCTCCAAGTACCAGAGAGTATGTGATCTATTTCTACCTATATATAAGAGACTGCGCCGGGACATAAAGTGCAAACAC